CTGATCGCCCCCGAGGGCGTGGTGCCCGTCCTGCAGTTCCTCAAGGACCACCACAATGCGCAGTTCGTCAACCTGGCTGACATCTGCGGCATGGACGTGCCGTCGCGACACTACCGATTCGAGGTGGGTGGTCGGCGTCCCGGATCACTGGCGAGCCGCGGGGCGCGGCACGACGGCCCCCTGTTGTACCTGGCGGCGCCGTACGGCGCGGCACGACGGCCTCCTGCTGTACCTGGCGGTGCTGTACGGAGCGGCACGACGGCCTCCTGTTGTACCCTGCGGTGCAGTACGGCGCGGCACGACGGCCTCCTGCTGTACCTGGCGGTGCAGTACGGCGCGGCACGACGGCCTCCTGTTGTACCCTGCGGTGCTGTACGGCGCGGCACGACGGCCTCCTGTTGTACCCCGCGGTGCTGTACGGCGCGGCACGACGGCCTCCTGCTGTACCTGGCAGTGCTGTTCGTGGAAGGGAGTGTTCGTTATGACGCTTGGCGAGGATTTCAAGTGCAGTTTGTGTCATGAACGATGTTCAGACGTTGGTCCAGATTTGATCGATTTTTTGGTGTGCGTGAGGAGCGAAATGATACCAAGTGTTATATTTCCTGCATTGTAAAAATGTTTCCTTGGGAATATCTTCCACTGCATCTGAGTATTGCATGATTCGGGTTACGTTAAAGCTACGGCGTTTATGGCCCCATACTGCTTATATCTGACAATCTAAATGGGTCAGTGCTGTGATGCGCCGGCCATATAGCAGATACCAGGTGGCAGACGTAGAGATGACCTTGATTTGTCGGAACACCCCGCCAGTCGTGTCGTAACGCTGGGTACTGGATGGCAGGCTCTCGCCACCTCATCACATACCGTGGCGATCGCCGCAGGTCATCTACAACCTGCTGTCGCTGCGCTTCAACTCCCGGATCCGCGTCAAGACATACACGGACGAGCTGACGCCCATCGAGTCGGCCAACGAGGTGTTCAAGGCGGCCAACTGGTGCGTGTCACGCCGTCGTTACTGCCTCGTGACACCTGTCGCACTGCGTCCGGGGCTGACGTCTGGCACCGACGCCACCGCCTTGTGACATCTGTCGCACTGCGTCCGGGGCTGACGTCTGACACCGACGCCACCGCCTTGTGACATCTGTCGCACTGCGGCCGGGGCTGACGTCTGACACCGACGCCACCGCCTCGTGACACCTGTCGCGCTGCGGCCGGGGCTGACGTCTGACACCGACGCCACCGCCTCGTGACACCTGTCGCACTGCGTCCGGGGCTGACGTCTGACACCGACGCCACCGCCTCGTGACACCTGTCGCACTGCGTCCGGGGCTGACGTCTGACACCGACGCCACCGCCTCGTGACACCTGTCGCACTGCGGCCGGGGCTGACGTCTGGCGCTGCCACTGGTGCCCGTCGGTGGTGGTGTCGCGCCACCGCCGCCTCGTGACACCTGTCGCGCTGCGGCCGGGGCTGACGCCTGGCGCCGCCACTGGTGCCCGTCGGTGGTAGTGCAGTCATCAGTCACCGGGCGGTCTGTCGTTCTGCGGCCCGATGGATGGTGCAGCAACCACAACCCGGTGTACGGCTGTCCGGATCCATGCACCACTTGGGGTCACGTCCTGCGCCCGCCGCCCGGCCTGCCGTACTACACGGCCGCCCGGCGCCGCCACGCGTCACATCCGCCGCCTGATCGGTCCGTCTCGCCTCCTGGCCCTCCCGTCAGACCACCGCAACCCTCTGGTACGGACCGTGGTTCAGGTGCCGCCGTCTGGTGGCGGCTGTCCGCGGTTGCCGGCACCGCCCTGCCCGGTGCCGGCAACCGCGGAGCGGAGCTGACCAGCGTGGCTGCTGGAGCGCCCCTTAGCCGCGCTGAGCGCCGTTGCTGTGCGGACCGTCACCCTGCCGGCTGTGTTTCAGGTACGAGCGCGAGGTTTGGGACATGTACGGCGTGTTCTTCTCCAACCACCCCGGACCTGCGGCGCATCCTCACCGACTACGGCTTCGAGGGCCACCCCTTTAGGAAGGATTTCCCGCTCTCTGGATACGTGGAGGTAACACGCCGCCGCTGCCGCAGCGACAGACGCGCGGCGCCTCTGTGGTATTGCGGCATGAAAACAGGCACTCATGACATTCATTCATTTACATAAACTCACTCTCACTTATTTGCATTGATTTATTTGCTTTCATTCACTCACACTCACTCTGTATTGATACGTTAACTTTCATTCATTCATTCACACTCACCCATCTACATTGACATTGCATGAATGAATATTAGTTCATCCACACTTATTTGCATTTATTTATTCACTTTCATCCGTGTCAGTTCACTCACTCTGTCATTTACTCGCATTCGTTCATTCGCATACACGCATCCACATTTATTAACATTCATTCATTCACCGCAACAAACACTAAGCAAGTTGCTGCAAGCTGCAATAAGAGCGCCTCAGCTAGTCGTTATCAAAGAAACCCATGCACGACGCAATGGCCCGACGAACCCTTCCCTCCGCTGCCGTCTTCACCCCTGCCGAGCTCACTGCCGATACATGACGTCCCCAGGTTCGCTACGACGATGAGGCCAAGCGCGTGGTGGTGGAGCCCGTGGAGCTGGCGCAGGAGTTCCGCAAGTTCGACCTCGAGTCGCCTTGGGAGCAGTTCCCGGCGCACCGGCTGAAGCCCGCCGCCGAGGAGGTGCCGCTCGACAAGTAGCGGCCGCCATGGCCGCCTGTCGTAGCCTGGGGCGACTGGGGGCGTCGGTAGCCGGCCAGCCGTGGCCGCCGTCCGCAGCACGCGGTCTCGGCCGCCGGCCCGGTCTCCTTGTGTGAGGAGCGGTGTAGTGCTTGGTGGTGTAAATACAGTGATGACCCTTGGTGGACGAGTCTAGCTCCGTCGCAGCGAGTGGAAAGGTTCAACGAATGCACTTATCAGGTCTTGATTTCTGCGATGTGGGAGGGTTTGTCGCCTTGCTTCCATCGGACTACGGCAAACGCAGTATTAGGCATATTATCTCCGCGATTTATCTCAAAGGACCGACGTTCACTTAATAGCAGCTGGTCTCCTTTTCGAAATAGCGGGGTTATAGACCGTGCTAATATAGTTTTTGCAACTTACGTAGTCTGTCACAATCTTGGGCAACAGTTGTTGGACAAGTAGAACCGTCCTTCATAAAATCAGCCAACCGACCGAAAGACGTGCATCATAATTGATCCACGAACCGCTGGCTTGAGCGATATATGCCTGCTCATCACACTAACAGTGACGAGAAGTGCCCGGGTAATAAACTGGATGAATCTTGATCCGACAGTGCATTGATATTTGGGAGAGTTCCGAGATCCATTAGACACGAAACGGCACCGCATTGGGTGCTTGGAACATTGTTTCCGCTGACCTAACGTGCGCTGCGCTCAGCTAGAAGTGCGGGGTAGTCTTATTACCCCATCTGTTTTTATCTTCATGTACTTTAAAGCGTTTTGGAAACGCTTGCTCCAGCGGCTGCAAAATCAAATACACACGCTCAGCCCGCTGTGGACTCTTATATTGGACGTTTAGTTCGTGCTATTGGATTTCAGGGGGTGGGGGCGGGAGCCTAAGGCCCGAAGCGAACGGAGTACCGGTCCGCCGCCTCCCCCCGTAAGGCACCACCTTTTCGTGGTGGGAAGCTTGTGTGCCCCAATGATCCTGCGGGCGGTTGGGGAGGCTTGTAAAGCGCTCCTTCCGGCCAAGGGGAAGGGGCCAGACGAAACGTGCCTCTCACAAGGGCTCTGACTCGTTCAGAGTAGGGATTAGCAACTCCTCGGCCCCAGCTTTTTAATCTTATCTGGGTCTCGCCGTACCCCGTTGGATCCGCAGGTAGCGATGAAGGGATCCTGGTCACTGACGGAGTTGCCCTGCGGGTCAGTCGGGGCAGATTACCAACACGTGGCTTTGGCACGAATTTGTAATCCTGCGGATGCCTCGTGAAGTCTCCACACGAGGAAATCGGCTGGTCAGACGTCGTGTTTTTGTGACACTGGCTTGAAGGCAAGCAGGCCATGTGATGGGTGTAGAGGGGGGGGGGGGGGGGGCTGCCTGGTACAGTGTCTGCCTCCTGACACCATTAAGGGGTCGTACCTCAGTTTGTTACCAAGGTGTCTGGTTAGCCCCTGCGAACCGAGGCACTGGCGCCCGCAGACCCGTGCCCGGCGGCTCTCACGGCAACTCTTTTGGCACACTGGTCTGCGTATAGCGTGTTGGTAGCACTGGCGGCTCCTCTCTTGAAAGTGGACCGTCCCCGTGTTGGGCTCCATGGTGGGCGGGGAATCAGCGCGCCAAATATAAGCACATACTTATGGACTCTATATCATCAACCAACCCCCAAGCCCAGACCGTCGTCCTTTGCCACTGCCCCAGTTTCTGGTTGTAAGATCCGCCAAGGTAGATGACCAAGGAAAAACAGTACCGCTTCGACTGAACCCATTCAGCGCCAACAAGCATTTTCCAAGATCGGGACACCCAAGGATGTCTTTTCGTATACGGATGAAGGCAAATAAGTGTATTTAACAGAAGAACGCGAGATCCAGCGCATGCTCAAGACGACCACACTAGTCTACAAAGGACGAGGACAGGGAGAAGTTAGGGTGCCCGTATCGGTGCACCCTTATCGCTCTGAGAACTACTCCAAGGGTGCGATTACTTGCCTGGACCTTCGCGGTGTGAGTGATGAGGATGTTGCCGAGGGCTTGTATGAGGAAGGGGTAACGGCGATGAGACGTATCAAGAGGAGAGAGAGGAGAGCTGACCGATACTGATTCGATTATTCTGACGTTTTGCTCTGCGAGAATGCCAGATAGGGTCCGCGCTAGATATCAGTCGGCCCCTGTTGGGTCTATGTACCTGACCCAGTCCGGTGCTACCGATGCCAGACGTATGGTCACTTCACGGACAAGTGCTGGAAAGAGGTTAGATGCGAAAGGTGTGCCGAAATAGGTCACCAACACTCTGAGTGTAAATCAGAAACCGTGAAATGCGTCAACTGTAGTCAGGGTTATGGGGCGTCATATCGTAGCTGTAAGTCCTTCTTGTCAGAGAAAGCTGTCCTGAACATCAAAGTGAAGGAAGAAGTCTCGTTTCGGGAGGCCCAACGCCGACACAACGATGCGACCACCACAAGAACATACAAAGACACCCATACTAAACCGGCAAGAAATTTATCCCAAGTAACACCCTCAGCCAACGGGGTACTGAAACTGAGTGGATTTGATAATTTCAAAGACATGACTGTAGGCAAGTTTGTACAGCTGATTCTAGGCACACTTGTATCAACTGACTCCGCTGTCCCGTCGCCCCGGAAGTCGGATCCTCCAAAAAAGGATCCACCTGCGGTGGTGGCGCCGCTAGAGAAGCTCAACCTATGGAAATGGAACCCCCTGGTGGAGCTGCCAGAGAGCCCGGGACTGGGGTGCGACCCGGGAACGGGTTATGGACCGCGGTCCAGCGAGGCCGTGGACTTCGCCCCCATCATCGCACCCCAACCCAGCCCGTGCTGGAGACATGCCCTCCCGGGCTCCATCTCCCCCTCCATCCATACCAGCTACGACAGGATCTGTCGTCGCTGGCACAGGGACGCTACGAGAGCTGACCCCCTCTGGCTCCCCAGCTAGTAGCCCTGCCGGGAGCGCCGGTCCTCCCGGCTCACGGGAGCCGGACAAGTCGGCATCCCGTGTCCATTCGGCATCCCCCAGTCGTCGCTCCCTCCCGGAGCCTCCCTTCTGAAACTGTTGTTCGTCCGGGTTCTCTGGACCCTGGACCTGCAGGGCGTGCCGCCAGGTCGGCGTCTGCACCGCGGACCGGAGGCCGGCTCCCGCTGTCGACTCCGCCCCACTCGCCGGGAGGGTCAATGGGTCCGCCTCCTATTCCTCTATTTGGAGACGGGGTTTCAGGTCTGCCTACCCCGCTGTTCACGGCGGCAGGTCGTGCAACAAAGCGTGCCCCTTTTTGGCCGACGTCGCCTACGGAGGGTGGAAGTCCCAAAGCTCGGCCAGGGGTCCGGCTTAGCTGCACTGAAGTAGAGCGTCGCCAGGTAGATTTGTTTAGTGCGAAATCCCAGGTGAACGTTTAAAGGAGATGTAAGTTATACCGATGAATCTTAACCGTACACCCCACATACAAGCATATCTAGCATGCCACTGACGTTTTTACAATGGACCATGCGTGGCTTGAGGGCGAACATGTCGGACCTGCACACACACACTTATCTAATCGCAAACCAGTTGTGACATGCTTACAGGAAACAAAGGTATCTAATGACACTCACCTTAACATCAAATGTTACAGCATCTTTCGGAAGGACGTGAGAACTGACACGATCGCCCATAGTGGGGTGGCGGTTTTAGTTCATCACAGTATACCGTGTTCTCCTGTAAGTCTTAACACTGATCTTCAAGCTGTTGCTGTCGTCGTCGACCTTGGGTCGTTGAGGCTGACTGTTCTATCTGCCTCGCTCCCACTGAGGAAGTACCGGATTTGATATTACAGTCTATCTTCGATCAGCTTCTATCACCGTTCTTATTGCTAGGTGACTTCAACTCCCATAGCCCTTCGTGGGGCTGCAGTCACACAAGCCGCCGAGGCCGACATCTCGAACGTTTGCTGAATACAAAAATATTTGTGTTGTTGACACCGGCCGGCATACCCATATATATCTGTCGTCCAGCACCACTTCAGCGATAGATCTTTCTATCTGCTGCTCGTCCCTTTTATGTCGGTTGTCTTGGGTCTTTGAGAACACAACGTGTTGGAGTGACCATTTTCCAATCTGGCTTGGGATAAATGCCGGACATTCATCAGGAAGAGGCCTTCCTGCTGGAACCTTCGACGTGCTAACTGATAAAGGTTTACCGACGAGCGTCATATTAGAATGCAGCCGACCGAGGACGACAATGCAACGTGTTTTACACAACAAGTGACACCCACAACTGCCGACACTGCAATGTCTTGCACTCCCTTGACATCACCGGAGCCGCGCAGGATCCCTGTCCCCTGGTGGTCAGAGGACTGCAAGGCGGCAGTTCTTAAGCGGAAGCGGGCGTTCAGGGTTTTTGAGCGTTCTGCAACGGCCAACAACCTCATCGCTTTTAAAAAGGCCAGAGCATTGGCGAAACGCAAAATACGGGAGGCAAAGCGTGCATCATGGAGGGAAAATGTGAATGGCTTAAATCGTCACAACCCACCCAGTGCAGTATGGCAGCGAGCTAGTCGCATTTCCAGTAGGAGCGTTTCTACTGCAGTTCCCGTGTTGAAATTGGCGGGAGCCACGGTATTGAACACGCAGGAAGTTTGCAACAAAATAGATCCCGCATTTGCAGAAACGTGTCGACATGGAACAGACGACTCACGCTTGATTCGTTACAAGTAACAAAGTGAGAAGACGGCAATCAATTTCATAATTCCTGGCTCAGAGATTTATGAGTACAACCAGCCATTCACTGCCATGGAGCTCTGCACTGCTCTTAAGAGAGCTAAGTCACCTGGATTGGATAAAGTGCACAATGATGTGTTAAATCACCTAAAGAAGGAGTTCCTCCATGCTTTAATTGAACTATTCAGCTACATATGGTTGCATGATGACTTCCCGGAGTCGTGGCGGGAGGCCATTATAGTCCCGATACAGAAGCCCGAAAGAATGGTTCCGACCCACTGCACTACCGCCCAATTTCGCTGACTTCAGTTCTATGCAAAGTGCTAGAAAGGATAGTGAATGATCGTCCCATGTGGTATCTTGAAACTCACGGCCGTCTTTCCAAAGTGCAATGCGGGTTTCGGAGGAACCGACGCACTGTTGACCACCTAATCATTTTAGACACAACTATACGACATTCTTTTAAACAAAGACGTCACACAATAGCAGTCTCTTTTAACATTGAGCGGGGTTATGATACCGCCTTGTGCCACGACGTTCTAAGCAAAGTACACGAGTGTGGACTCCGAAGTCACATGACACTCTTCACTGAAAACTTTTTACGGCGTCGATTTTTCCGCGTCCGAGTGGTGGCATGCTATCTGATCGCTACGAACAAGAGAACGGTGTTCTCCAAGGGAGCGTCCCTAGCGTAGCCCTGTTTGCGCTGATGATCAATGATATAGCCGGCTGTCTGCCACCTGCCATCAGCAGGTCGCTGTTTGTAGACGACTTTGCCATCTGGTGGGCAGTATTTACAACGTCGGCAGGGAGGCAGCTTCAGTTATGCCTGATTCAACTAACTGAGTGGAGCTTAGAGAATGACTTCAAATTTCCGACCACCAAGACTAAGTGCATGCACTTCTGCTCACGGATTAGAGGCTGTAGAGACTCGGGGTTGCGACTCTATAATGCCGCTACTCCAGTTTGCAACGAACTCTGTTTCCTAGGCCTCACGTTTCACCGTCGGCTCACGTTTAAGCAACACTACAAGATGATTAAGATTAAGTGTCTAAAGCGCATGAACCTCATGAAAGTAATGTGTCGTATGACCTTTGGAGCCGATAGATGCACCCTGTTGAACTTGTATAGAGCTTTAATTCGATCGGTCATCGATTGTGCATCGATTATGTCTACGACAGTGCTCCTACATCGTCGAAGCAGGCTTTGGACACACTCAACCATACGTGTGTTCGTATAACCACTGGGGCGTTTCCTACGACCCGAACAAGAAACTTGCTGGTGGAAGCGAATGAATCGCCTTTGCCTCCTAGGAGACGACTTAATTCGAATTACGCCGCAAAGGTTTCACAATTTCCGGATAAGCCGACCTTTGAGCTAATCCTTTCTCTGAGGTTAATTCGTTCTTTCTTGAGGGGGCGGCCCACGTCAGCGCGGCCGATACGTCTGCGCGTCCGGGACTGGCTGGACAAGGCGGATAATACGCTGGATGACATTGCCCCGCACGCCCTTCGGGCCCAGCGCCGTGTAGACGTCTGGGCCTAAGTATGGTTTGGAACTTCGCCAGCATCATAAAAATGGCACTTACCACGAGAGTTCCTCAGCTATTCGTCGGAACGGATCTCACAATACGTGAACTAATTACAGATATTTACTGATGGGTCCAACAGCTCGACAGGAACGAGTTACACATTTGTTTGCGGTGATCACACCGCAGGTTTCTGCCTCCCGCACCACATGTCAGTTTTCCCTCCGAACTGTTTGCTATTTTAGCAGCGCTTCAGTACGTTACCGTCCTGAAAGGGATGTGGTCATTTCGACCGACTCACTTGGTGCACTTTTATCATTAGACCCGACGGCGATGTCGCGCGACCACTCATTTCTGACGCGCTCCATTTGGGAGCAACTGGAATGGCTAGGCAACACTTCCTGCCGTATCACATTTATGTGGATCCCAAGCCACAAAGGGGTAATAGGAAATGAGAAAGCCGACGCCGCGGCGAAAGCTGCGGCGTGTGAGAGAAGACCGATACCAATTTTTGTACCCGCTCGAGATCTGAAGTTGGTCATTTCCAAATACGTCCGCAATGCGTCGCAAAACAAGTTCGACCAACATCGTCACGCTTTCAGGGAAATTAAGCCCCAACTGGGTAACTGGGAATCTTCCCATCGCCGAAGCCGCTTCCAGGAAGTCACCCTGCATGGGCTTCGGTTGGGTCATACACACGCAACACACTCGTTTTACTTAACGCGTAAGGATGTGCCACGGTGTGAAAGATGCGGGGGACCGGTTGTCTGTAGAACATGTCCTCGTCTCATGCCGGCGCCTTGAGACGGAAAGGGGACGACTGTTTCCTCCAGCGCCCCTCCATCGGTTACTCAGTCGAGACCCATGTGGTGAACTTGGAGACATACTCGCATTTTTAGCACACATTGACTTTGACATTATTTTCACTAACCCCTCAGTGTGTGTGCTAGTGATACCGCCTGTTATTAGTTGACAACGCACTTATCGCGTCGTCGCAGGCGTAGATCACCGTCGTCGAGTGGGCGCAAAACGGCCCCCATGCCGACGTACCCCCGAACACCAAATCACCACACCCCCAGTCCGCCACCTCGCACACGACTATTGCCACCGCTCTCCTGCTTCGATGCCAAATCATGTGGGCGCAGCATGGCGATTGTCCTCGGCGCGCCCGAAACCATTGAGGCACAGCAAACCGCCGCCAAATGATCCGGTGGCACTTGGCTTAGCCGTCTGACGCGCCACCCGGGACGGCAAATCATAAACGGCAATACGCAAACAGTGTGTGTGGGCTTCAAATGTGCTGGCGCTGACGTGCACTGATAGTCCGCTGTCGTTGAGTATTTATTCCATCGACGTCGGACTAGCACTTTGAACATAACAGCACAATGCACGAGTCATACAGGCGCAACGGAATTGAGCCATTGTTTGGCACAAGCACGAAAACAACGCCAAGGTACGTAAACGCACGACCGAAATCCAGTGTGTAATGCAACCGGCAGTAATTCGCGGATGGTGACGTTAGTACACAAATGATGGCACTTAATATGTCAAACGAGGAGCATTAAACAGAGTTAAACAGATCACCCCGGGTCAGTACGAGGAAAGCCAAGCATTTGATCAATCCGGCCCAGCACACCCCGGCAGGCCTGCCTGGCCGCGACAGCAAGCGTTGCCTTGTCTGTAAGCTCGACAACGCTGCCCATGATATAAAACAGCGTATATCTGCTTGACACAATCCGTGGATGCCCATTAGCGCTACACACAGCGCTAATACACCACTAGTAATTCAGGCAACATAATACCAACGCTAAGGCAAGATTCTTACGTCTATGTACGTTTCGAGGTGCACGCACAGCGACACATACACTACGAGCCGATCGACACTGCAGGTTCGGTGACGACGGTGCGAGCAGATAAGCTGCCCGGGTTCGCCGGTCTTGCTACACAGACAGACACGGAACAGCAGCAAACACGCTACGAAGCGTCAGGCTTTCGAACCACGTGACACGTTACAAGACACCAAACATCCAGCCAGCGGACAAAACACGGAGCAGCAAGCCTTAAGCAACGGACAAACCACCGGGCATCCAGCCTCGACACGCGCAGTGAGGCACCAGTCAAGCCCACCACGAGCGGCACGAGACAACAGATCAACGTTGCCCGGTGTGGCGGCCGATAGCAGCAGTGAATGACCCACCCACCCTCCAGGTGACCAGCTCGCATGGACCGGCACGGAAGCAGCGCGGGCCACCGGGCCACAGCGCAGCACACCCCCTGTCGGAGACGACACGGGCCACAGAACAACACCGACGACGCCACAGCACGAGGCCCATGGACCACACAACACCGGACAGAGCGCGCCGCGTCACCGGTCGGTCCCACTCGCTCCCACCCGTGAGGCCAATGAGATCGGAACCAGCGGCCAAGAGGCGGGGCGGCGCCCGGGGGCGGGGGCGCCGCCGCAAGGCCCGCCACCCGCCGCCGCGCGCGGCCCCTGAATCACAGCCTCGGCGCCTCGGCGGGCGCCCGGACCAATCTCGCACCCCCACGCGCACGCGCGCCCGCCCCAGGCCGGCCGGCCGGCGCCGTTCGTTGCATCACAGCTCGCGGTCTCTTGACATGGGTGATTGTCCCTAGACGGTCACGGGCCGCCCCCTGGTGAGTGCATAGCACGTGCGCGCTCCCGACATGCGGCCAGCTATTGTCAGCACGGAGCAGACGGGGGTGCCGACATTGCCAGCCAGACGAGGACAGACGCTGCTGGCGGGACCCAGACATGGACAGACGCACGGCACCAGCGAGACACGCGTGCGGACAGACCCTGCTGGCGGGACACAGACATGGCCAGACACATGGCACCAGCGAGGCACGCGTGGACAGACACCGACAGCGGGACCCAGATGTGGACAGACATATGGCACCAGCCAGACACGGAGGCGAACAGACGCCGACAGCTTGTTACACATATACAAACATTATTAGTGTGACCAAAGCCAGCAAGACACAAGGGACCAAAAGAAAGGCCAATACTCCCTTATTGCTCAACGGCGGCAAGTCGTAATACTCGATTATTGCCCACTCATCGACACTTGGTCCACACTCAGGTCGAATGCTTTGAGGCCTGGAATGTTTGGATACAGTTAGTACGTGACTTTTGTGAAGCACGCACGCGCTCTACAAGCCTCAAAACGATACTGTGCATTGAAAACCTCTGACAGCTACATCTGACGATGGTTCTAAATTGGCAGATTTTTTTTCTTCTGACGATACGGCATGTGCAAAAATCGTCAAACAAATTCACCACCACTTAACTAGCAGCAACTTCAACTCATCGCACGATTGTGTTAAATCACCACGTGATTGCAGGCTGCAAAATCTGGTGTTCTCCCCCCGTTCCCAACGCAATCACCTTGCAGCCAGGTGGCTGTCCGGGGCCAGTTTGCGCTTTCTCTCTCTCCCAGCAGCTGATTGCGCCGGCCCCTGCCCGGGACAAGCCGGGTGAGCGCCCCGGCGAGAAGCGGAGCGCCGGTTCTGTCCCGCCGCGCAGCTGCCGGCCCGCCAACCAGCGGTCAACTCGCCACGCCAGTCGCTGCCGACGCCGACACAGACGATCGCGCCCTGTCGGCTTCGACGATCTCGCTCCGCCGACACAGACGATCACGCCCCGTCGGCTTCGACGATCTCGCTCCGCCGACACAGACGATCGCGCCCCGTCGGCTCCGACGATCTCGCTCCGCCGACACAGACGATCTCACCCCGTCGGTTCCGACGATCTCGCTCCGCCGACACAGACGATCTCACCCCGCCGCCCCGCGACGCCTCAGGCCGGCGCGAAGCCGAAGGCCTCCATGCAGGCGACGTCGAAGCTGCCGGTGGCGGTGAGGGGCGGATTGCCGAACGTGTCGCAGGCGTCTGTCTTGCCGCGACTCAGGTTCTCGTCGAGCCAGATCGCCTGGCCGCCGCCGCCGCCGATCGTCAGCATCGTGTTGTCGGCCGCCATGAACAACTGCTGGCTGTGGCTGACGCCGGCCAGCTGCGGGTCCTGCTCTTGCTTCACCTTGCCCACCCACGGGTACACCTTCAGCTGCGGCCGCAGCGTGAACAGGAACGTCTCGCCTGCCGTTTGAGGCGCGCATGAGTCAACGCATGGGACTGGGGGGGGGGGGGGGGGGGGCGGAACGTGGGATAACATTCACGTCGAACGAGACCAACTCGGCCCTGCGTGAAGAGACCTGAGAAGAGCATATTCTCTTTTTGGGTGGTGACTTAATGAACATGTGACTGATGGAAGAGCCAAAGTCGAGGTCCAAGTAGATGCCTGTCTCACCAGTGCCGAAGTACGTGTAGCGGGTGCCGTCCTCCTGCATCTGGTTGCGCGTGTTCCACGTGGTAGAGCAGTAGGCGCCGAACACAGCGCCCTCCGTCGAGCGCAGCAGCAGCACAGTGGGCTCGAAGGTGGCCACCTTCTGGTAGAACGTCTTGAGCGAGAAGCCGTGCTCGTCCGACGTGTACAGCAGTAGCGGCGTGTAGAGCGCGAACCGCGCCGGCAGGTTCTCCCACAGCCGCAGCAGCTGCGGCGCGGTCGACAGTCAGGCTGGAAGGGGGGGGGGGGGGGGCGACCGGCAACACGGCGCCACGACAGCCCGCCTCACAAGCACCGACAGACGGGCCGCTGCGGCGTGCTCGGTGCCAATAGCGGAAGCTGCTGCACACTGGAGGAAGGGTCCATTTCCTTGGAATGCAAAGACGCCTAAGTGGTCATAGGAGCCCCACGACCGCGTGTTGTGCACCACAATCAGGCACCTAGTCACAGTCAGATGTGAGGTTTTAGCTCAGCAGGTACACGTAAGCTATGTCGGGCACAGGAATACTGCGACTGACAGCCAACGTAGACAACTACCTTCGTCTGGCCCGGGCAAGCAAGGGCCACAAGCCGCGGTAGTCTGCTGCATTAGGTGCGATCCACAGGCAAGCATTCCCGACCTCTAGAGCACATACATCAGCTCCACCAGGCGGGTGATGCATGACTGCGGTAGCGGGGCCACACCGAGAGCGGCACGACGCATCGCCACAGTCACGATCCGGCGCACCAACATGGCGGACAGTCGACATCGGTCACAACTGCTCTCAGAAGCTGCCCTCGCATCAGCCTGGTCAGGTCTCACCAGCCGCGCACGTGCTAGCGGAGCTTCAGGCCAGCGGCGGGCTTCATGTACTCGACGGTGAACGCAATGTCCAAACAGGGCAATGCACATATCCGTAAGACCAACGACCAAGGGTGCATGCTCATAATATCCCTGCCATAAGGGTGAGTCGCTGGAGTGCTACAGTTAAGCTCAACATCATTAATCAGCTCATAGTTATTTGGTACGCAGCACGTTTTGAAATGTACCTTGCTTTAGTTCACCCACATATGTGAAGACCGCATTGTGTGGAAAGTACAGCCAACGTTTCTTACGATGTGGTTTGATACCGCAATCCGTCACTATCCCGTAGCTTGGCGCAGAGTCTCCTCGTCCCGTCTCGTCACTGGCGCAGTGATGACACACCAGCACTTCCATCCAGCCTTCCGCGGTGGCACGTGACTGGCAGACGCTACCTGAGCGTACCAGCCACACGTGCGCGCCGAACCGGCCGGGCTCAGCCTGCCCCAGCGATTAGCACGACCCTGAGCAGCGCTGCATCCACAGTCACGTCAAGCTGGAGCACGCGCCTACAGCAGGCCCCGTGCCATTGCGGTTAGTCGTGCGCCAGCTGTACACGCCAGCAGCAGCCCGGCCCTGACGCACTACCCAGCCCCCGCTGAGGACGGTGCGTGCCTCTGTGGATGGGCGCAACACGGCGGCTAGCGCTACTGCGGCACCACGGGGCCGGCGGTCACCGTCTGCGTGACGGATGGCAGCTAGGGGCCGCTGGTGACACACCAAAACGGCCAGCCTGGCGCCACCCTGGCTCATTGAGGCTGGTTGGCACGTGCCAAATCCCTGCACAAAATTTGGCTGCAAAATCGACGAAAAAGCCGGTGGAGCTCGAAGTGCAATATCGCGGCGAAACGGTCACGATTGCCGCACCAAATTATGCTCGGGAAGGTCATGCCGGAACTATGCTCGCAACACATCCCCTCCCTTAAAGACAGGTATTGCAGGCCATCGACACTGTTGAGACCCGGGCAGGCAAACGAGCGGCAGCGCGGAAGCAGCGCAGATCTTCGTACTACAAATCAGCGACACTGAAGGGCAGGTCTGGCTAGATACAGTCAATGAAGGGCAGGTCTGGCTAGATACAGTCAGCCACAGCGGCGTGGCACGTGCAGCACAACTATTGCCCACAGCGGCAGCGGCCGGCATGCCAAGGCACTCACTTCCTGGAAATTTATCAGCTCGAAGTTTGGGTCCTTCAGTTGAGGGAACTTTGCGGAATGCTTGGAAATAAACATGCACGTCAGAATGTGGCATGAGACACAATGAGAAAAAAGACGTACACGATAATTTGAAAGACAAGACCGAAACAGGGCAAAAGCGCGACTAGGACTGACAAAACCGAGATCGAGATGAAAGACGACACCACGTTGGAACAAGCCAGACCAAAGAAGCCCATAGGAGGGAAGCTTCATAAAAGGAAGCTCATAGAAACCGTCATGATGTACTGCATCGGGCAATACATGGAACGATGCACGGGGACGACTAGATACAGAACCACGCAAAGAGATTCCGCCACCACATCACCACCACCAACACCACCGCCACCACCACCACACGCCCCTTCCAGGCGTCACCCCGCCAACAGCGAGCCTCGGAAGGAGGGCCACGTCTCCGGCGCCGCTCTTACCTCCTTGACGCCGATGGTGCTGGACGACCGGGCCAGCTCATCCTGGGACATCACGCTGGGCATGCCCAGACCCGGGTGCGAGTGCTCCTTCGTCACGGCCTTCACCGATCTGACGAAGCCCAGCGGCCACCGTTAATGCCTACTGATTGACGGCAACCGTGTCAGACGAGATATTTAACCAGTGCATGACACCAATACTAGGAATCGACAGATTGTTTTCCGACGTTTGCAGCTGCCACGGCTACCAGCAAAACGACCCGTCTGGCTCCGACGTTTGCAGCTGCCACGGCTATCAGCAACACGACCCGTCTGGCCCCGACGTTTGTAGCTGCCACGGATATCAGCGAAACGACCCGTCTGGCTCCGACGTTTGCAGCTGCCACGGCTATCAGCAACACGACCCGTCTGGCCCCGACGTTTGTAGCTGCCACGGATATCAGCGAAACGACCCGTCTGGCCCCGACGTTTGTAGCTGCCACGGATATCAGCAACACGACCCGTCTAGCTCCGACGTTTGCAGCTGCCACGGATATCAGCAATGCGACCTGTCCAGTGGACTGTCATCACGACATCCGAATCCCCAAGGCTGGTCAAGACTGCTGCACGACACCTGTCGACCTGCGGGGATGTCGGGCCCAGTGCATAACGGTCCACATGTTCAACCTGGTGGGGATCGTAAACGTGACCTCCGCGTGCGGCGTCCACGCGCCACCCGCACTCCACACAAAAAGACACCGCACGGGCCTGGCGTGGCAATCCACGGCGGTAAAAGCGCCCTGACACGAGAGCAGAGCACTCAGCACTCAGACATGCCAGCCGAACATTCCGGTGTCGCACATATGCGACCGGGTGTGACCCGACACGGTGGCGGCAGCGCTGACCTGCGCTCGGGGAAGTTAAGCCGCCCTCCGCCGGCCTTGATCTGGGCCTTGACTCGGGTGTAGGACGAGCTCAGCGAGTCCCTGCTGAAGCCGCGGATGTTGAACAGCGTCTTCAGTAGCTTGTCCGGCGTGACCTGCGCGTCGGACGACGGAAGCCCGTCAACGGAGGCTGTCTCAGCACGCCCCAGAGCTCATCGCAGCCGAGAGGGCTATGTTCTCCGTCAACCCATGGCGCCGGTAAACAGCAATGATTCACATCGGCCAAAGCCCACAGAGTCTGAACTTTCGGTGGGTGGCCGAGTTAGAAGACAGTGGCACGGTACTATTTCCAAATCAACTCTGACCAATTGCTTTCGAGGGCAGATTTTGGGGATCAAAGTCCATTCAACGTATACTTGGTTGCCGAAACCCGGACGCCACAATCCCAGCATGGGCACTTCCACTTGAGGGGGGGGGGGGGGAGGGCGGACATATCTCGGTTTTCTCCAAATGGGACTTTGTCTTCCAATTTTGAGTTTCCCGCTCCTTATCCTCCAAGTCCATTTAAAATTGCCTGTTCAAGTCAGACTGTCCATTACACTTAACTTTAGACCCCAATTCTGACTCCCCCCCCCCCCCCCCACCATCCGTCAATCTCAAAGACGTGGCTGCCTACAATCATGGACCTTAGCAAAGCAATTTCAGTTCAATAGGCCATATTTCTCCAAGGACTCAAACGCCCCATGAAATACCTGACACGGCAGCTCCTGTTTCAGCCCAGCTCTATGGAACAGCTGACAACCGACCATCCACAAAGATCCTCAACAGCGCTGTTTCTGGGACGCGGTCCACGATTGTGCCCCGCGTGGGCCAGCGTGCAGTGCCCCACCAGCCTGGGTACAGTCCACATGTCCTCATCGCACACTTTTCATAAACGAAACAGCAATGATTGACACCGCCACTGCGTCACCGACATGTGTCCAAGTCCTGTTGACCCGTGCACAAGTAAAGGTGATCCTTCCGCAAGCAAACAGGCCGCACCGGTATCTTCCTGCAGAAGATCTCCATCACGTCCTGGACCGAGTTCTCCAGCAGCATGGCGCCCCAGTCACCCAGCTGACGGCTCGCCATCTTGTGCAGCAGCAGCACCAGCCCCATAGCGGCCCGGTACAGCACCTGCATGCACGAGAACACGTGCATGTATACAACGGCAGCTACACTTCACGCAGTTCTGGACACTTGTCTTCTCGATCCGAAGTTAAGTTACCGGATGCCACCAGCGATGGCGCGCGCATTCCTACGCATACTTCCCAGACAGTTTATGGCTGCGTGTTATCAGATCACGAGTAAATAGTTTCTGATACGATTATGCGATGCATAAACGTCATTGTGATGCAAACATTTCCGGAATGGCGTTTCGTAGAAACGCACGTGCGTCGCAATACTGGCCCAAATATATCCTAAAATGCAACTGAAACGTCCTTCAGACTGCCCATGCGGAGACGGTGGATGAACCGCGGTCACCTTCTCGCCCTCCATGAGGAAGCAGTCCATCAGCCTCACGGCGTGCGGGAAGGGCAGGAAGCAGAAGATCCAGGCCAGCCAGTCGGCCAGCACGTGCTCGACGTTCTCGCCGTGACGTGTCTGCTGGTGCAGGTAGTGCATGCTGCTCTTCTGCGGAGGCCGGAGGAAGCCTGTCAGAACGCTGACCATTGACGGCACCACACTAGGACGGGGACCTCGCCAGACAGCTACCGGGAGACAGCCTGGCCGCTGAAGAAAACGACCCTAGGACCGGGACCTCGTCAGACAGTTGTCGGGAGACAGCCTGGCCGCTGAAGAACGCGGCCCTAGGACCGGGACCTCGCCAGACAGCCACCGGGAGACAGCCTGGCCGCTGAAGAACACGACCCTAGGACCGGGACCTCGTCAGACAGTTATCGGGAGACAGCCTGGCCGCTGAAGAACGCGGCCCTAGGACCGGGACCTCGCCAGACAGCCACCGGGAGACAACCTGGCCGCTGAAGAACACGGCCCTAGGACCGGGACCTCGTCAGACAGTTATCGGGAGACAGCCTGGCCGCTGAAGAACACGGCCCTAGGGACCGGGACCTCGCCAGACAGCCACCGGGAGACAGCCTGGCCGCTGAAGAGCACGGCCCTAGGACCGGGACCTCGTCAAACAGCTATCGGGAGACAGCCTGGCCGCTGAAGAACGCGGCCCTAGGACCGGGACCTCGTCAAACAGCTATCGGGAGACAGCCTGGCCGCTGAAGAACACGGCCCTAGGACCGGGACCTCGTCAGACAGCTACCGGGAGACAGCCTGGCCGCTGAAGAACGCGGCCTATAAGCCAATGTGGAAGCCAGAAAAGCCTGTGATGTTAGGCAAACACCCGGATGTACGCGTACAGCATCTACACAACGTAGTGACGAGGCTATCCAAATGGGATTCCTTGTAACCCATGCTACCTAAGGCAATAACTAAAAGTTATGTTTTCAGGATATGCGCAAAAGCTGCTTTACGTGGAACACAAGTTACAAATTAGTCCGTGGAAATTATTTCAGATTTTTACCATTTAGTGTCAGCAGCACAGATCTTACCGCATGTTTTCGGCACAGCTTGATCACTATCCTCCACGATATCTCGAAATCACGTCGGGTTTGAACAAGGTAACCCAGTTTCTTGTTACGCAGCATCATGCTGAGCGCGTTGTAGGCATCAACCTCTGCAGAGACACAGCAATATTCATCAGAAGTTAAAAGAAACACCAGACTGTCATGCATCCGACGCGCGCCGTCCCCGATCACGTCCGCTCAGTAGTTGCAGCAAGTGATGATCACACCGCTGGAGAGATACAACAGTCCAGCAGCTCAACGTCCGCAGGCTCACATACTATCCGTTTTAAAGTAAATATTGCCCGAGTCACATTACAAAAATAAGACATCACAAAACAATGTGCATATACTGTGGCAGAAAACAGCAGACAACAGTGTTGGGTATCTGCAGTGAAGCACAGGCATCACATACTCTCCCACCACCAACTACTCTCCATTCAACGCAGCAGATGACAACACAAGGGAAAGTGCGGAGGAATGTAGGTGATTACCAGGCCGCGGTAGTAGATCATGGGCGGCACCAACCGTCCAGGTATTGGATCAGGAGACAGCAGACGGCTAGAGCGGCGGACTGTAGGTGATTGTAGGGCTATAGTATAGCACAGCCGACACCTACCATCCATGTAGTGCAGCAGGAGACAGCAAACGGGGTAGAGTGCCGGACTGTAGGTGATTGTCGGGTTGTTGTAGTAGAGCACGGCCAGAACGCGGTCGGCCGACCACACTCCGGCCTCGGACAGGTGGTAGTGGTTCGCGTAGAAGGTGTGCACGAACGGTGGCGTCTGGTGCTGACCCGCCCGCGCGGGGCCTGCCGGCAGAGCAGGGCCGCTGTTCATTGGACACGACCCGGGCCAGAGACCCGGCACAGCACGGCACGGCACGGCATGGCGCGGCACGACACACGCTCGATGTAAGTACAGATGACGAGCACGATCACCGCCAGCATCGCGCGTCTGATAAAATGCGTGTGAGCTCGGCGCGAAAACAAAGGCAGCAGCGCAGCTATTTCATGATGAGCCGAATATCCACCTAGTAATAAGTACATCAATACAAAGGGCAACATGTCAGAACGAATACGCTCCCGAGCCTCTGACTCAGTTGGCAAAACAAGTGCGGCCGACGAGAGAGGGAGAGAGGGAGAGAGGGAGCGAGAGAGAGAGAGAGAGGGAGCGAGAGAGAGAGGGAGCGAGAGAGAGAGGGAGCGAGAGAGAGAGGGAGCGAGAGAGAGAGGGAGCGAGAGAGAGAGGAGAGAGAGAGAGAGAGAGAGAGAGAGAGAGAGAGAGAGAGAGAGAGAGAGAGAGAGAGAGAGAGAGAGAGAGAGAGAGAGAGAGAGAGAGAGAGAGAGAGAGAGAGAGAGAGAGAGAGAGAGAGAGAGAGAGAGAGAGAGAGAGAGAGAGAGAGAGAGAGAGAGAGAGAGAGAGAGAGAGAGAGAGAGAGAGAGAGAGAGAGAGAGAGAGAGAGAGAGAGAGAGAGAGAGAGAGAGAGAGAGAGAGAGAGAGAGAGAGAGAGAGAGAGAGAGAGAGAGAGAGAGAGAGAGAGAGAGAGAGAGAGAGAGAGAGAGAGAGAGAGAGAGAGAGAGAGAGAGAGAGAGAGAGAGAGAGAGAGAGAGAGAGAGAGAGAGAGAGAGAGAGAGAGAGAGAGAGAGAGAGAGAGAGAGAGAGAGAGAGAGAGAGAGAGAGAGAGAGAGAGAGAGAGAGAGAGAGAGAGAGAGAGAGAGAGAGAGAGGAGAGAGAGAGAGAGAGAGAGAGAGAGAGAGAGAGAGAGAGAGAGCCTACCGTAATCGCCCTCCAGCTGGCGGACAGTGGTCTCGTACTCCTCGGCCTGACCCATGGCGGCACCATGATACTCGCAGATGCCCTGCCACAGGTGCAGGCGCACCGGGTGGTCTAGCGGCCAGCATCCCGTGCGCAAGTCCTCCTTCATCTGAGCCAGAGACTCAGCCCGTCAGAATATTAAACGCTCTGCTGGGTGCGCGGCGTGCGCCTGCTGGAAATGGCATTGCAGGAGCAACACGAAAGAATGCCATCCTGCATAAATGCTGTGTATCCGGTTCAAACGTGCAGCATATTTTTGATTTTCTGCGTCCGGTCACGCACTGCCAGTCCAGGATGACCCACCGTAGTCACCCTCCTGATAGTTTAGGAGGACCCATCATAGTCGCCCCCCTGGTAGTTCGGGAGGACCCACCGTAGTCGCCTTCCTGATAGTTCGGGAGGACCCACGGTGGTTGCCCTCCTCATAGTTCGGGAAAATTCACCGTGGTCGCCCTCCTAATAGTTCGGGAGGACCCACAGTAGTCGCCCACTTGATAGTTCGGGAGGGCCCACAGCAGTCATCCTCTTGTTAGCTCGGGAGGACCCACAATAGTCGCCTTCTTGTTAGTCCGGCGGCCGGCACGCCATAAACCCCGTGAAATCCTTCCTTTTTCGGCCTGCTTCGTTTCAAGGCCCGCACATGTCACTGTTGACGTTATCAGTCGGATCCCTGCTCTTATCACACGATCCATTACCTTAGGTCAATTGTGAATGCTGTTTTGACAATTATCGTCACTCCAGCCACCCAACCCATCCCCAGTCCATGTTCACCCATCAGAAGTCACATCATCGAGCTGACTCAGTTATAGCGACTCTAGTATTCAAGAGTCACCACCGCTATCTCTTCACCCCCCCCCCCCCCCCCCCCTCCTCCCACACAACGTTCCGACCGCGGTTGCGCCCACCTGCATGTCCTTCTTGTCCTTGAGCTGCTGCTCGGCAGTCTGGGCCGTGTGAGTGGCGGCTTTGGTCGGCGTCGCGTACGCACCGCAGTCTGCCAGGAACGAGGCGGCGCGCACGGCGGGCCGCACGGGCCCCCCTGCCGCCTCCAGCATGGTGGCATCCACGCCGCTGGCTCCGGCGCCGCCGCCCTGACCGCACAGCGCACCCTCGCGTTGGCACCTGTTGCTAGGTAACACCAGTCTCGTGATCTGGCGTAGCGCACGTCGATCGATTTAGTCCGCTATTAATTTATGAACCGTTGGCGCAATTTTCTTTTAATGGTAACCCAGCACCAGGATGTGAACGGCTAATGTCCCAACCAGCGCCAACACATGCATGGTCGAACTCGGTTATGACCGGTCCGTTTCCGCACCAAACAAGGAAGACGATAAGCCACCACACCAGCCAGTGATTTGTCAGCCATTTTTTCTGCACTATCCAACGAGCTCAAATGTTGGCATCAGCCGGCGCCCGGCCGGTTTTTGCACCAGCCAGTGACTGGTCGGTTTTGGCACCAGCTGATGGCTGACTAGCGTGCCTGCCAGCCTGTGCCCCGCCGTCATTCCAGGCAGACCTCCGACACCACCCACCTGACCGGCCGCCTGGTGCGACTCGCGCTGCCGTCGCAGGCTCGAGCTCGACAGCGACCGATTGCGCCGCAGCGAGGCGAACGCGCCGCGCCAGGACGCGCGGGACGAGTGCGCGCGCGCCAGGGGCGGTGGCGGCTCCGGCTCGTCGGCCGGCCGGGCTGGCGGCTCGGCCGGCGCGTCGGCGTCGGCGGGCCGCGCGCGCTCTGTCGGCCGTGACGCCTGGCGGTCGGGCGACGACGGCCGGCGCAGGCGCTTGCTCACGCCACGCTTGAACACGCGGATGGCGCGGAACGTGCTGCTGACAGTGCCCCAGGAGGCGGCCGGCGCGCCTTCGTCGTCCGTGTCGCCTGCGGGGGGCGGCGCCGTATTAGCGGGAGGGCCGGCCGTACCCCGACACAGCGGTGAGAACGACACTGCTCACCGAGACGTGTGGCGACTTAACTTGTGTTGGCTGGCGCAAGACTCCGTATCGGCCCCACTTTGCATCTAACTCTTTATGGAACGGGAAGAGGAACAAGATGGACCAGGCGGCGGAGGGGGGGGGGGGGGGGGAGCGAGAGGGAGGTCGGCAAAAGTCATTGGAGATCCCACGCCTGCAGAAAATATAAATGTAAGAGATATCCCGGGATCCCGGGACATACAAAACTTGTACCTCCGGCGGCCCGGCCTGACCACATTTTTGTTGATCAGTTTGCGGAGAGTCGATTACATAATCTGGCCAGCGCGGAATCCATGATGCACCGAGCACGAAACTGAAGGCGACACCGATCAGCAGCGTCGAGGCGCGCACACAGCTGAGCGCCACCGCTGTGAAAACAGCAGCCACGACGGACCAAAGGCGGGAAACCACCATCTGGAGACCTGCCTTTACCCTAACGGCAAGGCGTGATGACACCAACGCAGGACTGAAACGGGTGTCAAACGAAGGCGTATCGCATGGGTGTATCTCTTCCCCGCGGACCCCAGCACAGATAGGAAGCGAAAAGGGTCTGGACGTTCCCATCCATGTCGTGCCGTCTGTGTACAACATGCGTGAACTCGTGTCGGCTATACAGCCATAATACATAAAATAAGCCAATAGCAGTCGATTCAGCACTACCTGTATCTGCTAATTGACCCGCTAAATGTCTGATAAGATATTATCAATCAAGGGCCAAGTCTTCAAAACCGACGACGTTTGGCATTTCGCAACCTATCTGACCCAGATCCACTTTTTGACGAAACTGGCAACTCTGCTCCCCGCACCAGGTGCGCACGCAATGCCGTGCGGGCCGATAACCTGATATCCTCGGAGCGTCGAGTGACTAATCCCAAGTCCACCGCCCTAAAAAGGCGGCGCCGCCGGGCCAGTTTGGACACCGCTCGGGCCCGCCGAGGAGCGTGCGACCAGCGACCCGAACCGGATGCCAGGCCGGGCACCGCGCGCGCCTGTCTGTTTCGACACCCCCGCCGACGCCTCCCCAGCTGCGACCCTGGCGAGTCCACCCGGCCGTCGGCGGCCGGTGCGCGCCCGCCCGTCGACCGGCACGAGTTGTCGCCGCCGGCGGCGCCCAGACGGCGCACCCACCTGCGTCGCCGACCGGGAGGTGTTCCCCAGAGCCCACCACCCAGATGGTGCGCGTGGCTGTCATGCCGTTCCGCTCCGGCTTCGGGGAGTCCCCGGCGTCGCTGTCCTGTGCGAGCGCCGACGCCGGGTCGGACAGCACACCCGGCTCCGAGCGTCGCTCTCCCGACGACGAAGCAGTTGGCTCCGAGCGCTGTTCCTTAGCTGGCGAGGCAGTTGCTTCCGAGCGCTGTTCCTTAGCTGGCGAGGCAGTTGCTTCCAAGCGCTGTTCCTTAGCTGGCGAGGCAGTTGCTTCCGAGCGCTGTTCCTTAGCTGGCGAGGCAGTTGCTTCCGAGCGCTGCTCCTTAGCTGGCGAGGCAGTAGCCTCCGGGCGTTGGTCTTCAGGTGGTGAGACAGCTGTTTCCGGGCGCTGATCCTTACTAGCGGAGACAGTTGCTTCCAGGCGTTGGTCTTTAGACGGCGCCGCAGCTGTACGCGGGCGCTGGTCCTCAGATGACGAGGCAGCTGTTTCCGAGAGCTGGTCGTTAGATGGCGAAGCAGTTGCGGCCTGTCGCTGGTTCTCAGACGGTGTGCCAGCTGTCTCCAAGAGCTGGTCTTCACATCGAGAGGAAATTGCTTCAGAGCTGTTTCCTCCAGGTGTTGAGTCGGCTGCTCCAGAGGTCCGGCTTCCTTCAGATGCCGAGAAAGTCGCCTCTGACAGCTGATCGTCTTCGGACGATGAGCCAGTTACCGCTGAACGCTGGCCGTCGCGTACGGAGCACGGCACGTCACCTCCCACCAAGGCACGACCCACCTCTGAGCCGTCTGGGAGCGATTCCTCGCTATCATCCGGCATGTTTGGCCGTTGTCCTGACTCGAGTGGTCTCTGATTAGCCTCAGATTTGCTCGCTCTCTCTGCCTTGTCTGGTTCGTCAAGTGCCGAGCCGACGCCACTCGAGGCGGGCGATCCATTCGCGGCGCTGGACGGCTGTGCGCGGACCGGCGCGCGTGCCGCCGCCACCTCATCCGACGACGGCACCACGGTGGCGAACGCCAGGTCCTCCGCGGCGCTGACGAACTCGCTCGCCTCCTCGCCCAACGACAGCGACCGCTGGCACACGAGCGCAGCGCAGATGGGCCGCTCGTGCCGCTTGCACTGGGCGCCGGTAACGTCGGCCGCCTGGTCAGGCGCGGAGCCGGCCGGGCCGGCTTCGGCAGCCGCAGCGGGCGTATCCACGCCCCGCTCGCCGACTCCCGGGCTGTCTGACGGCGACCCGCGCCGTCTGGAGACACCCGACCCGTTCTCCGACATCCCAGACTGCTGGTCGGCGGCACATCCGTCTAGCGCAGACACTTGGGCCGGCGAGCGATCCTCCATCAGCGGCATCGCGGGCCGTACGTCGCGTGTGTCACCGTTATCAATGACAACACAAGGTTGTGCTAAATATATAACATTAGATGCGTTGTATCAGAAAACAGCGCACCCACGGGGCATTTGCTCGTTTTCTCACAGAACGCACTGCAGTGGTACACACGAAAGCGGGCGCAGAGACGGCAGATCCCAGCGACAGGGCTCGTCCAGATCCCTTTCCGCGGAACGAGACCGTTCTAGCGGCGACGCCACAAGCCAGCCCAGCGGCGGAGCTCGTCCAGACTCCTGTCCGCGGAACGAGGCCGTTTCAGCGGCGATCCAGCAGCACCAACACTCCACCCCACCGCACACGTACGCACTCTCTCGACGCGCGGTCTAGGCAGAACGCAGCAGCGCAGTCCGCAGACCACCGCCGCTCGTGCGCTGCACCTCTCCGCGGCTGGACGGCGAGCGGCCGGGCCAGGCTCTCCCGTCGGGGCGGCCCAGCGGTGCCGAGCACGGCTCCAGTGCTGCCAGACGGTCACGAGACGACCGGTTGGCAGCACTGTCGCCGCTCCGTGACCGGTACGGCGCCGGGCGCCAGGTGGCCGCGCGCACCGCAGCCGCAAGATGCACACGTGATCTCCAGCGGCAGGAGTACCGGTCCGCCGGCAGATCTGCGGCGCCGCGCTCGCGGGCCGTCCCCCCGGGGCGTGACGTCACGATCGCCACTCCGCCGCGCCGGGTAATCCGTCACGCCGGCCTGCGACCCGTTTTGGCGATCCAGGTCCGCGGAAGGCAGCGCTTACGGCGGCCCAGCGGCGACGTATGGACAGATCTGTGCTGCCCGACGGGGCGGACAGAGGTGCGCACGGCAGTCTGCCCGGAACGTCGCGGCACGTGCGTCCGAGCCGATCGTCTTGCATCAATAGGACACCGCACGACTGTCGGGACGAGCGCGGCAGCGGCGCACCCGATCCTATCGCCATACAGATGATACCAACACATGAGCGAACGGAGCCAGGCGTCTTCCGGAATACGAATCAGCGGATTCTATCAAAGGGTTGGCATGTCCGTCCTTGGCCACAGTTTAGCGCCCCAAGAGGTTCATTGCTTGGCATTCGAGCGCTAATTCACGCATCACATTGCTCGAACATTGGCTAGTTATGGCTGTCGTTAGACCAAGCCATTTCAAATAACCACATCGACCAAACAGTAAATGGTTGTCATTCATGGCAGCCGTGATCAATAACTTGTAAAATGTTAATATTTTGTGTGGATAGCTGCCACTGTGAGTTGAAGACTACGCCTGTGTGGCTTTCATGACCCACTCTCACTCCGTTTAGCCCATAGCATGTTGTATCCGAGTCGGTCTAAAAAACGGCGGCCTTTTTGTTTCAATGTTCTCGATGAGACAATTTAACATTTCATGCTGGACAAAGGCTACAGTTTGCTTACATAGCAACGCTGCAAGACAATAACTTAATCACTTATCGAATACTCATCAAACCACATGCATGCAAACTGAACGAAACCGGTACAGCGCAAACTTTAAAGATATGCTAAAAGTTGTCAGATTTTGCACGCTTGACAAACTGCCTTGTCTGCCTATCCCGCTATAGTTCTGTAGAATGCATTGGGACATTAGTAAATACACTCGAAGTGATTAATTTGTCCATTGTGTTCGCTAAGGGTGTTGCAATTTACACTTGTGGTGTGTTTCATACAATGTTATAGTACATACCGAAAAACAACTAGCACCACTGTCCTCGTCATTACCGTTATCGCATACTGGAAAATGACTTTTAACTGGGCAAGCGTGAAAAACGTACAATATATGGGCAGACCTGGAAGGGACAACACAACAGATCGTAAACATTGGAGATATGTCCCTTAAGTCCCTCCCCCCCCCCCCCCCCTGTTCACACCTATGACTGGCGGAGACGGCAGTCCGATTCATTGCTATATTTGCGGCTCTTGTTGCCAAGCACGGTGCGATGATGCGACCAATGTTAACAAAGACATCAGTTCCAGCACAGGACGGCCGGGGCGAACCGCTCAATTTCAGCACTGTATCGCGGTTCCGGTAGGACTCATCGTCACCGACGTTTGAAATCCGGGATGCCGTCTGGTTGGGAGAGAGGGTGTTGATCCTCCGTCCTCCTCGTTCCAGACATGCTCGCTGTCTGTTCCGACACCTAGCTGTCTGACCACCACAGGCTTTGCTGCACTCGACCTACTAAGAATGCAGGGAATTTCAGTACTTGTTAACGCGGCACTTACCGCGGCATGCCCTCGCCGGACGAAAATCAATGTTTTGCTGTCACCTTACCTTCGTAACTAATGGACCGAACTATCTAGTAGCATTTCAGAAGATAACATTGGCTTTCGTATGGGGGGGGGGGGGACATAGCATGAGGACCCCGCGAAGCTCATGACGTCTCAGTCCACGGAAACTTTGGGGGGGGGGGACATAGCATGAAGACCCAGCGAAGCTCATGACGTCTCAGTCCACGGGAACTTTGGGGGGGGGACATAGCATGAGGACCCAGCGAAGCTCATGACGTCTCAGTCCACGGGAACTTTGGGGGGGGGGGACATAGCATGAGGACCCCGCGAAGCTCATGACGTCTCAGTCCACGGGAACTTTGGGGGGGGGGGGACATAGCATGAGGACCCCGCGAAGCTCATGACGTCTCAGTCCACGGAAACTTTAAATATTTGTCGAAATCCAAGAACGCGTAACTATGATGTAAATTGGTGAATTAGACATCTAAGCCCAAGGCATTGGTGAATACCTGAATTTACATTGGAATGTCCGTTATAAATTCAGCAGCGTTTGGAACAAGGCGACGTGAGGTCGGGGGAGCTAACCGTCGTTTAAACCCGCAAAGTAAGGCAATACACACCTTAACGTTATATCCTCCCATGGCGCCAAAAAGATAGCTTAAAACTTCGCATACGCCAAAGAAACATCCTGATTTGTATCTTACTAACGAAAATAGATCGGACTAAAACTAGCCTTCCAGAAGCTCAGGACGACCTAGTTGGGCTAAGGTGGCAAGCCGCTGTCTCAGGTCTCACGCTGCGCTTACATTACGCTTTTGTTGTAACCTGACAATGAACTGTTTCACGAAATTAGCACAAATAGTGCCACTTCTCACGAGCTTCTTGCTTACCGCAGCACCAAAACAGTGCATTCGTTAGAAAACGCGACAAAAGCCAGTGTGTTCGGCCACAACACGCCTTCCAGAGGTCTCCATATTCGACACTGTGCTGGTGCACATACCATATGACGCACACACGATCATCTCTCCCGCACGTGCATTTCATAAGCTGAAATCTCGACACAAGCGCCTACGTTTGGGAGCCACGTCATTTCGCCCACCACCGTCAGTATACAATGTGTCGAGCGGAAAAACCAATCCAAAATATTTTTTAATTTTGAATGTTGAGGGTGTAACAGATCACACAGTCAACGACAGCCCCCGATTCAGAGCGGTATTTAGAGGACAACCAGCTCATTTCCCAAGTGTCAATCGGCAAGACTGAGCTAGAACCTTCTCACCGGAAATTTAGCAACACCCTGGTTAAGGACCATACTTCTGGCCATTTGTTCAAGAACCAAATCTCTCAAACTATGGGAGAAAGCGATTCTCCGACGTCATCAAAGCGCGTACGAGTCGCTAATTCTGACGAGAATGTTCAAATTCGGTCTAATCAGAAGCCTGTACACGGGGAAAGATTCATCTTCATCGGCCAAACCACTGGCGAAGAAAGGAGAATGTTGACAGGGGTATGGACGTGGTGCGTGCCGAACCGGGCCATGCGCCACGGAACGTTGACATGTTAGAAGAGAGTGCCGCTTCGTCTGGCGCTGTTTGTTCCGCTAAAAGGGACTGAAGATGACCTACTGGGAGCCAGAGACGGCGCTAGCCTTCCCGCACAGTTTGACAGCAGAGACATCGTTTTGAGCGGACCGCGTGCTCTGGGGCGCACGCCTGCGCAGTGTGAAAATCAGCTCACCAAAAACGAACGTACACGCATCATTCAGATACCAGAACGACTCTAGCCCATACCCTGACGGCTTACGCGTACAATTCCCAGCATTCTTCACGTCGGAGCTAAATGAGCTGGTGACGAGCGCGGTAAATATCTATCTTAAAGGCTGCGTGCCTGATGAAATAAAAGCAGCGCAATCATTCTGATCTCTGAAAAGGACAGGACAAAAACGACACGCAGTTCCTTCGCCCTATGAGTCTCCTGATTGTATTATTTTTATTATTTATTTTTTATCATAGGATTATATGATTACATAAAAGTGTATTTCGAAAACACTGGCTACGGGGATGGGGAAATAATTAAGGAACTGATCCAACGGATCAGACGGATTTCGAAACGGCCATTTACAGGCGAAAATGCCACACCTTTAATCGATGTAATGCATCTCGCACCTGGAAAGCAAAAACCGGGCGTTTTCCCTCTAATGCAACTTACTTAACGTCTGTGATGCATGGGACCACCTTCAACAAGATGCAGTTAAGCTTGGTTTCCACCTCGCAGTCCAGACATGGGTCTAGCTAGTTTACCATAATTCAGCAGGAATCTTGGCAGTCAGGGTCGTAAAAAGTGGGCACCAATCTCTCCCTGTTACTCTGAATACAGACATGCGAGCATGGCTATCCCTGAGGTGTTTTTGCTCTGCTTAGAACTACTATTGCATGAGATCCGTTCAGAGGCCACCATTAAAGGAACATCCTAGATGGCTTAGAGCTCAAGGCATCCAGCTATGCAGATGTTTCTGTCCTTTCACTGGACGGGACTCCCGAATGCTTGCAAACTGCTTGACATATGAGCTTATCGGGAGTTTAGATTACTATCTAGATTAAAACTAAATCCATGTAAGACTCGGGCAATGTTTCGGGCCAGAGTCGAATCGACATCCGATTTGCCCAGAATATGACCCATGCTAGAGTCCAAGCTCAGTTGAATACATATTGCGTCATATAACACAAGTCTGGCAAAACTTAACCATT